GGAAAAAGGTTGGGGACCACTGTGCTAGAGTACCTTTCTGCTCCTTGATGATCCTCTGGGTGACTTTGTCCACAGAGCAGATCTTGCTACTGAAGTTCTCCACGTACTCCTGCATCACAGTGAACTCCTCCGGCCGGCTCCTCAGGCCTCGTACCGAGTTGGCCACCGCCCTCACCGTCTCCCCCATCCTGCTCAGGAAGCCCGGACCCTGCTTCCTGTGAGACATTAGCTCCTGCAGGAGTCACACGGCAGGGCTTCAATAAAGCTGTGCATCACTGCTGATCCAGCTCCTGAATGCTCATACTGGTCTAAAATATGTGTGTGTGTGTGTGTATGAGACACCTCTGCAGTGAGGAAGACTTTGAAGTGCTCGCTGCAGGACAGTATAGGATGATCAGAGATCTTGTTGAGGAAGCGGTGCAGAGCTTTCCTCCTGGTCTCAATGAAGTCATTGTTGAAGCGTTCCACCATGCTTTTCATCACAAACTTCTCCGGCAGCGGCTGAGGACAGCGTGAAACAATATTCAGGCGTGGTACGTGTGCAAGGCAGATTTAGCATCTAATTGTAACATTAAAACATTAAAAAGTACGTATGCTAAAGAAAATCTTGAGCATGGGAATACAAGAAAGCTTTTTTCTGGATTGGACCACAAAGAAGATTGTTTTTCTAACCTGATGGAAGGCTTCTATGATGCACTTTTTTACCCCATAAGTGTTTATTATTTATTTTCACAACTTAACACTTACATATACTTAACTGCAGTCTGTATGTATACATATCTACGCAGGCACACAAGAATGCAAGACACATGAACAAAGTCTTCATGCATCAAATAAAATGCTCAAAACAAAACAAAGTGTTGAGGACTGCATTAGAATAATGTCTTCTATTAATGTACACATGCTGAAAACAAAAACCCTTTGTAGGCTTTGGACAGGGCAGAGGTGCTTCTATTATATGGCCTACTTCTATCTAAATAGAAGTAAATAGATATGTTGTGAAATAGTGATTGCTTACCCCTGATAGAAATGTAAAGGGCAGAGTTGTAGATAATACAGAAATCCATTTACCCACTCTTCGCCTGCTGACTTTTTTACAGGATAGAGCAATAATTCTTTTGGTCACTAATGGAATTATTTCTAAAAAAATGTGGTGTGTCCTTCTAATGTTCTGATTGGCTGGGTGTAGACCTAGGATGAGGAGCTTGGAGTCTAGAGGAATTTGTATGGATAATATGTCCTGGATATACCTTCTCACTGCTTCAGTTTTGTTTCAGTACACTGCCCAAGATAGTGTAAAAGTTTACCTTTTGCCACTTCACACTTACACAATACATACATCAGTTATAGCACAATTGTATTTGTAAAGTTTTTCTGGGGTTACATACGTTTGCACGAGCCAGTTTTACTCTCTAGCCTCGGTACGGAGGACTCTGAGGACCAGAAGTTCAAACAACTTTGAGATTTTTCCCCTCCCCGTACAGTCCATCACCATTAACTTTTTTCAATTGTTGGAAGACGGGGGATAGATAGTGATTGATTTTGTCGGGTTCTGATGAGGTCTCTCAGTTGCAAATATTTGAAAAAATGATTATGGGAAATGCTATATTTATAAGGACATCAGATGTTTACTCTCAGGACTGTATAATTCCCTGATTTTTTTGTAGCCCTTTTTCAGCCCAGTTTTTAAATCCCCCATCAGATTTTCATCAGGTTTTTTCACTTCAATAGCTAGTTTTTCCTTCTTGGACACAGCGTGTTTGAGCAGTGGCTGGCTTGCTGAAATGCAGTGTGCCACAGTGTCTTGTGCTAGCATAAATTAAGCTATAAAGCATCCTATGACTTTTCACATCTGTTCATTTTGAAAGGGCAACAACCCATTGGGGAAAGTCCAACACTTGACTGACCGATGGCGTAACATCATCACTCAGTCAAGGACAGACTTTTATTACTGCTTGGCTGCATGGCTGACTCTGATACTAAAGAAAAAGTCAAAGAAGTTATACAGGGAGCCTTTTTATATGAATTACCTTAAAACCTCTAATAAAAGTAGAGAAGGACCACAATTAGATAGTGTTTCCCATCTTTGCTCAATAGTTTTGTGCTATAGGGATGAAACGGCTGTCCCCAATAAAGGCAGGCTCAGTTCAGTGACTTATGCAAATAATAATAATAATAATAATACACCTGGGTTATTATTAGAAGTTCTACAGAGTTATGGACTTCTATCCTCAATGGTGAATAAAGGGTGAATTCTGATGATTGTAGCAGTGTCTATGATGTCTGTGTGTTTAGATTTGACTGAGTCAGAAGAAGCAGGAGACAGGTTCAGGGTGCAAGGCGGGAAGTTGTGGTGGGTGGCGGGGCTGCACTATATGGTGAAAAAAACATCATACTGCGATTGACAGATACTGTGGTTCAGGATTAGTGGGAATTTTCATTATTACTGAAAACTACAGTATGTCATTACAATGCTGTTTGTCACAAACTTTACCTTTCAAACAAACTGCTGCTACAGTCAATGTATTAATATTCAAGTACATTGCTATTACACGTCCTATTAACTCATAATAAGTATTACAATATGTACAGTATGTAATATTTAATAATAGGTTTCAGATCTCTGCAAGTTCATTCTCACACTGTATGAAAAAAAATGAGCAACCAAAGGAATCCTGGATGGTAAGAAAAAGAAAAGTGCTTTTTGGAAAAAGGCTTGCAGTAATATTAAGGGTTTGTGTGCCTTGTGGTAAATGAGCTCAAACATCCAAAATCTCTGCAGCAGCCCATGATGTGTTTAGCAGATGATGGTGCATGCTAATACATACATGGACGATGAGCGTTGGGTGGTTTTCTTCCAGTCTGCTTCGGAGCCACAGGAAGTCCTGGTAGCGCCGACGAACCTCGTACTCGCTGGAGTCAAACTCACTCCGCGTTGTCTGCAGAGAGAAGCTCCATATCAGTACCAAGACTCCATGAAGCTTTATTGTGTTACCGCCAGGTTGAGGTGTATAGACCTGAGCATGTATCAATTGTCCCACAGTCTGTCCTGTATTGCACAGGACCAACACACTCCTACCTCAGAGTCAGACAGACAGTTATTGATGGAGCTTCCTACATTGATTGTGTTGAAGTACAAATTATGATAATGCTTGTAATATGAAATGTGAAAACATTTTTAAGTGCATAAAGCAGCTCTACTTTGTCACGTGTTGGCATTACATGAATATACTATAGCTAACTTGTACGACTGTACCCAAATCTCTTTCTGGAGGTTACATTTCAGACTTTTTAAGAACTTTTTAAGACCATTATGAATGCAATTTAAGATCTATTTTACGTCCTTACTGGCAGAAAAAGTACAAAGTCTATGAAGGAAAATCTGTGTTGGTTTTTTCCCCCCAAAACACATTTAAAAAATAAATGCAACTTAACACAACGTTTACTTTGTTAATCCAATCAATTTCTGTTTTAGACCTGTCAAAATTACAAGACATTTTAAGGCCTTAAATTCAGATTAGACCTTTTAAGACCCTGCGGACACCTTAGTGTTATTTTTTTAAGTTGTATTTTTATTGAACATTGATAGTACAGGATATGTACATAGCCCCCCTTTACCTTTCAGTGCAGCAGAAGCTCAGCTCCAGAAGTTCAGCGGAGCGATTTGAATGATCCCAATGTTTTCCTAAATGGATCGTCGATTGGTGAAGTAAATAGAAGTCCACCTGTCGTGTAATCAACGTCTCTGTTATTAAATGCACCGCGTCTGTGATAGTCTTTCGAGGGTTCTGGTGAAACGCAGGGGAGCATCATGAGAGCACCAAGAAACACACAGGCAGTCCGTAATTACTGTTGTGGGGAAGTTTAAGGCCCGGATGTTGGAACAAAAAGATTGTCCCAAGCTTTCAAACATCCCCGCCAAAGGAGCACTGTGCCAAGCGGAGTCATTTTGAACATGGAAGGAGTATCAGGATCCACAGCAAATCTACCAAACCTGGCGTCCCTCTTAAACTTGTCCAGCTCAGACAAGGAGAAGATGATCAATAGATGCAGCCAAGAGGCCCATGATCCACTCTGGATAACTGCCAGGGGAGAATGTACAAGGCTGGAGGTGGAGAGTCTGGGGTTCCAGTAGGACAACAATCAGTCGTACACCTGCACAAATTCTGGACTTCTTTATGGAAGGGAGTGGCAAGCAGTGAAAGCCATTGTCTCAGAAGATATCCAGTACAAAAGTCTGCGTCTAAAGCTTTGCACAAGCCACCTGGCGGGGACACACCCGCAAAGACATGTGGGAAGAAGGTCGCTCTGCGTCAGATAAAGTCCAATAAGCGATACTTTGTGGCCCCGCACGAATGCAAATACGAGATGTTGCGTAAAGCAACCGCACAGACTCATCACCTCAACACGACCATCCCCACTGTCAGACGATGGTGGTGGCAGCATCATGTTTGCTGCCGTGCTCTTCTTCAGCAGGGACAGGGAAATGGCTTAAAAGTTGAGGGGAAGGATGCGATTGCAGCCCAGATATACAGGACCAGTTCTGAGGTGAAAAACCGGGTGGACTCTGGCAACAATGACCTGAAACTGCGGACGGAGCCAGTGTATCTTTCGCAACAAGGACAGATTATCCCAATCCATCATACAGCAAAAACTCTACAAAGGAATCGGTCACAAATAAACGGTAAGTCCAGCGTGTTAGAATGGCCAAGTCAACAGTCCGCAGAGTGCGGCTGTCATCCGATCGCAGAACTGTGGGAAGCACGGAGCCTGAACACTGCTCGTTCACGGCAAAACGCTCTCCTTCCAACCTTCAACTGAGCTCGACTGTTTTGCAAGGAAGAGATGGGCAAGAATTCAGTCTTCTCGATGTGCCATGGAGGGAATACTGGATTAGAGATCATACCCCAAGCGACTTGCAGCCTGTAAATCGGCCCAGCAAGGAAGGTGGCTTCCTACAATATTAACGCAAGGGGGCCGAAATTAATTTTGCACGCCCCCAGCTTTTCATTTCTCGCTGCAGTGTAGTCAAGAACAGTTTTCAAAAATCCAATAGATTTCGTTCCACTTTGCACACATGTGTGCTTCCCACTGTCTGGTGATTCTTCACAAGAAAATAAAAAATTTTATTATCTGTATGGTTTAATCCTGAAATGTGGCAAAAGGTTGAGTGTATAAGTTCAAGGGGGCCGAATATTTTCGCAAGCGACGGGGGTATAGTGGGTGGTGTGGGAGTGGGTGCGGTCTGCCTGGTCAAGCTTTAAATAAAAGAAGTTTTATTTGCACGTACTGTAGTTTTTGATGGGGAAACAACCATATGAAGTTAACTATAGAAAACTGTACTTATATTGAAGCTATATATGAGACTATGGAATGCATTTCCGTCAAGGTCAAATATCGTATATGGCTTTCATAGAAAAAATGTATTTGAAGCATGCGTGATAGCATCGGGAACGTGCGAATCGATAGACTCATGATAATCCCGCCTAATCGAAGGTCGAAATGGGATGATCAGTGACAACTGTCACCACTCTAGCGTCGATGCAGAATAAAATCACAGCAAGTCATGTTTGGCATCGTGTAGACTACTTGTTGGAAGTGTCAGTTACAGTTAGCTCCCAATAGCTAGTTGCGACACTAAATAAGTCACCCAGTTGGGGGTACGTAGCAGTATCTTGAGTGAGGGGCTAGAGGGAGTACAGAATTCATTTTCCAGCACGACATTAGATTATTTCCAGGATATTTGGTCATTATTAATCTATCCAGTCTTGTAATGGTTATTAAGTATCTTGAACTTGTTACGTCTTGTGTATTGGGCAAAAGTAACCCAAGAATGCAAAAGTATTTGTATTTGGTCTGAAAAGATATAATCAGATGTTATGCGGTTCACCTGCAGGAAACTGATTCGGGGCTGTCTTGCGTAATTGTGGCGGTATCGTGGGGTCTGCTGCGTTGATATGTATAGATCTTGTGTAGTCTGCAGATATGGATAAACGTTCTTTCCCTGGTAATATACTGCAGGAGATGAAATATTGCTTGTCTGGCTGAAGCCATGACTTCTTGTCACTGTAATAATTCTAGTTGAGGCAGTAGTGTCTGTGACTTTACAGATGTGTGCAGGCAGGCCCAGAGTAAAAGAAGAAGCGAAAGCAGCTCCCAACTCTAGAACTGTGACACGATGTTTAAATTAGTTGAACATGTATAAAGAATACAGTAACTGAGAGTGATTCGGTAAATAAAGTTATTTTTTCAAAATAGAAAAGCAGCCGTCTGAGTAACGATTTTAAATCGAATATCGAAATTTGACATCTCGATCTCGACCTGCGGCTGAACTGCGCCCGCAAAGGGGAATTCCGACGATGCAGCACGACCCCCAATGTCACGTCCAGCCATTTACGCCAGAGACCGCCAAGAGAACACACATCTCTGCGCCTGAGACTGCGCGTCAAACACTGCTCGTATATTTAGGCTGCAGCCCAGTTAAAGAAAATACCACAATAATGCGACCGAAATCGAACCCCCCCTTCTTGCTACTTTGAAGGTTCACCAGTGTGGAGATTTTGTGCTGTCCGTTCTATTGCACGTCGAATTTACACTAAACTTAGCCTACTCAACATCTCTCCTTTCTTCTTTTCTTCTGTCTTTGTGTTGTGTTTTGTTTGGTTTGTTGATGCTGTTGAGAGAGATTTGAGTAGGCGAAGTTAGCTGTTAACTTACGTGAGTGGCCAGCCAGGACGACAGAATACTTGCCACACTGGTGAGTTTCAAAGCTAGCAAGGAGGAGGCTTCGATTCGGGTCGCGTCGGTTTGATTGGTATTTTTTAACTGGCTGCCACCTAAAAATTAGAGCAGTTTGGACGCGCAGTTCAGCGACGTGGTGTGTGTTTTTGCGTCTTGCGTACATGCTGGACGTGACAATTGGGCGGTGTGCTGCATCGTTCGATTCCACCCTTTGAGTTCGAGGTCGCGGAGATTGAAGTATGTAATTTCGATTTCTCGAATTGTAAAATCGTTTCTCAGGGAAGGCTCCTCGTTTTTTTTGAAAAAATACACGTTTATTACGATACTCAGTTATTGCTATTCTTTTAACATGTCTCGAATAATTTAACATTGTCACGAAGTTCTGATGTTGGAGAGTCTCGCTTCTTTTCTTTTACTCGTGGCTGCCTGGCAACAATACTGTAAATCACAGCAACTCTGGCTCAATAGATGTTTACATGACGACCAGCTTATTTACCACAAGAAGTTTCATTTCTCAGTAGTGATTCCAGGAAAAAACTTGTTCACGTATTGCCTCATAGAACAGTTTACGTGGTATAGCATGGTATACCCACAGACACAGAAAGTAGGGCCGAATTTAGCAGTGGTTCGAGCATTTTGCCAGGGGACCGGACATCAGACATGATGGTAGTATTTTCAGATCCAAAAGTACAGCAGAGTAACTTTTGCATTTGCGTACTGGCCCGGAATAGCCAGCGGCGTAAGTACAAGCTTATCAATAGCGGTTACATACTCATCGGTACAGGACGCCGGCTGGAAATAGATGTAAAATGACCGAAATTCATCCTGGAATGGAGATCGTATGGTGCCTGGAAAACTGATTGTACTTTACGCCCCGTTCCTCAGGATAGCCTACGTAAACCCGTGGCTGCCTGGGCCTATTTAGGCTCAGCTATTGGGAGCGGAGGAAACGTAATGACACGTCAAAGCTAGTCTACCAGATGCACAAAACTGACTTGCTGCGATTGTTTTCTGCATGCGAGTAGAGTGTAATTGCTCCTGATCCCCCCTTCGATTCGAGTTGACGGGTGTTGGACTCATGTCTCTTCGATTCGAGTTCCTCGATAGCGAGTCACGATGTGCTTGTCGAAAGACATTGTCTTCTATGAGAATTGCCATAGTAGGAGTTATTGAGCTCCCGCGGGGGGTGGCGCTGGGC